CATTCCTGTTTCTGTCCACTATTAACCTCCTGTTCAAAATCAAATTTTGAGGGCTTCAGGGAATTCTTCTCCTGTTGGTACACAAAGAAGCCATCTGTATGGCTTCTGTGAAATTCTGTACTGTACTTAGGACTATCAATGTCTTATTCAAAGATTTGTGTTAAGATTGATATAAATGTGTTTCCCAGCAACAGTCGTACTTTTATAGCACAGTTTTTAGGTATGTTTGCATGCATGTATATATACATTTATATGTTTAGTATATATGAAGTATTTTTATCCCTTTTGTCAGTGGATAATCATTGCTAATAAATGCAGACAAGTAGTTTGCTTGGCTTCTTCAATGCTACCTTGCATTTTTTGAGGCGCTGTGTGCATATACATGTTTTATCTGGATAGAAATAATGTGAAGTAAAATTAATTGAAAAATCTGCATAACCTTGAAATGTGGATCTGTAGTTGTTAACTACAGTAGCTTAAATCCTTTTGTCTGTTGCTATATTTTGCAAGATCTCTTTTCTCACCTACATTAGCTTGAAAGTAGAAGATGGTAAAAACTAGCAACTAATAGACTTCCTTTATTTTCTCCTCCAATTTTAATTAACTTAGTCACAACCACTTGCCTTCTTGGAAGAAGATATTAGGGAAGTTTTGAAAGAGGAAACTGGAACAGATATATTTCTCAAGGAGGAAGATGACACTGTGTATAAAAGCTGCAAGCAGGAGGTAACATTACAATAATAATTTCAAACAGGAAATAACTGCTTTTAAATAATGTTTCACAATTTTGCTCTGCAAAATGTTTATTGCAGCACAACTCTTCTAAAAAAGTCAGAAAATCACTGGTCCTAGATCCATGGGAAAAAGAAGAGGTTGGTGCCCAGCCCTTCACAGAAGATAAGAATTTAGATGTACAGGTAAGTAGAAACTACTGAAGAGCATCACTGGCAGCAATACTAATATAGAACTGAGTATCTTTCATTCTATTAACTAAAATAAAGCATTTGGATTGAGGCTGGATTCATAAATCTAGAAAGTGTAAATCACCTTCAGTTTGAAATATTACTTTAAGTACTTAAGCAATACTTAAATATTGGGCTTGAATTCATGCACAAATTCTTCCTTTCAGTCCTTCAGAGCAGGACTGGTAAAGTAACGTGGATGCTTTGCAGCGTTGCTGTTATAGCAAAGCTGCTTCCATGCTGGTTACCTATGAACTTCAGCGTATATTGGCATGCTGAAGCTCTCTGTAATACACTAGGGAGAAGACATTTGCCCCTGTGTTTTGCATGCTTGACAGTCTGGCAGTTGTGTTCTGAAGATACCTAATTGCGTATTAGGCAGCATGTTTTTCCTTTTCCTGCTTTACATAGTAGGGGAATACTTAAAGATATAAGGTAGAAGATGAGGTTTGTGAGTTTTCTCTGCCTGAAGGAATTTGAATACTTCTGCCTCAACAACCAAGGCATCAAGAGTTCAGGGATGGGGTTGTTTTGGTCCCTCATTCCTTTAAAAGGTAGCCCAATATTTTTCAAGTTGAGTGATTGAATAGATTAATCTTTAGTCTTGCAGTTTGTAGGAAAACTTTAATGTATGTATATGTTTAATTCTGAAAGAGTAAATGTCTGTGACTCTTGATCAAAGTATAAAGCTATATTCAAAAGGTAGGAGCCAAAGGCCTTAAAAAGAAGAGGTGCTTAAGTTGTATCCCTTTCTGATTATAAATTCCCTTCATAAAGGCCTCCCAGCCTCTGTGCCACGCCTGGGTGGTGGTCGGTGCTCTGCCACCTAGTGGAAATCGCCTGCTTCCCCCAGAACATCTCTGCCCTGTGAGGAGCAGCATTGCTGCAGCCTCTCAAAACAGAAACAACACTCCTTCATAATGTCTTGTTACGACATGGTATATTGTGCATCACTGATGTTCAGGTTATTAAGCTAAAACCAAGATACACTATGATATTGTGGTATATTAAAGGCAGTAGACTGGGAAAAAATTACTTTTCCTCCATTCTAATGAGAGGTGCTGGTACAACAGGAACATTTGCTTTTAGCAAGAGATATAGTGCTAGTATCTGATTTAAAAATGAAAAATGTGCCAATCCTTAAGTAGAAGTTGTGTATCCACGTGATGGTAAGTTAGGAGTAAAGTCTGAGGTAGAATAAATATGTCAAGGTAGTTTAACACAGTTTAATGGAGTGTTTTTGTAAGTGAACAAATACATATGCCACTGTTACTGTCATCTGATTTAGCTCTCTAAAATTGCTGTATACCTTTCTTCTGCTTTGCTATAGTGAAGCTGGATTATTTTCTTTTTATTTCCATAAACATTATCAGCATATAGAACTGTTCTGGAATGATCAGCCCAGTGCTTATTTCTGTTCTTAAAGTAGTTCCTTCCCCTGATACTGATGTGATCTTAATCTTTTTTACTCCAGTCTCTTTGTGCTTACCTCCACAAGGGTTCTACTAGAAGTGAATTACAAGCTTTTTTCTTTAAAACTGTTCTGTAGTTATCACATTGTCAAGTCTTGTTCTTAATAAAATGTAATCAACTGTAGCACAGGTTTATATGAAAGAAACCATCTAGCCCAAATGCTAGCAGCTCTTTGTTTTACTGTGCTCAGTATTGACTGTGAATCCCAGTAGAGCCCAGGCTAGTTCTTCATATACTGTTCATTACTTTTTCTTTTCAGATTCTTTCCTAGGGTCTTTCTGATATTTGCCTTGTTTACATTTTGGCTTCTCTGATCACAGCAGTTGAAGAGGTTTTTTTTTTAATTAAACGCTAATTATTATTCCTGTTCCCTACCCTCTTTTTTGTCAATAGTCAGAAAATGCATATACCACATCTTTATTAATGATATCATTGTTGGAAATACATGACAACAGATGTAACCTGACATCAGAAAAACAGGATACAAATCCATCCAAAAAATGCAGTAATTAAGAAGAAACTGAATACATGTGCTTCAAAAAAAATGTCAAAATGGAGAAAGTTCTTCAGGTCTGGATGCAAAAATTCTGTTAGTTTTGTTAGCAGGTTAACAAAGAAATTTTTTTTTTTTTGTTTCTCTCTTGTACTAATGTCTAGAATTTTTCTATTCAGTGATCTTGTTCTGGTCAATGTTTCCATGATCCTTATTTCTTGTAAGTTGGTCATTTGTCCACAAAGTGTTTATTTATAGCTAAGTTCTTTAAATACAACCCTGATTTTTCACTAAGTGGCCTCTAAGATTTAAATGTTGGCAAAAAAAAGTCAGGATAGGGTAGACCTCCAAAACAGGTTTGGGTACCCAAGTCTAGGAGTAAGAAAACTTGACTTGGTGCAAATTAAAACCTCTATAGCACCTGTTTCTCAAATTTGGTTCATGCTTGCTTCATAATTAGCCCAGTGGGATTAATTAAGTGGGGTTCATCCACAGGTTCTGTTTGGTAATTGTTCTTGTAACGTGCCTGTTTTTGTACATCTGTATATTTTCCATAGTGTTAAAACTGTGGAACCTAGAACCTAGTTTTTCCTCTGAGTGTGTCTTGACCACCAGGTTTAAGGAGAGATTCTCTTTGACTTGGCTTGGTACCTATTCCAGTTTGCCCCATAAGGAGTTAATGTATAAAGTTTTTGTGTATTCTCAGAATAGCTACAGCTCTGTATTAATTAAAAAAAAAAAGGGCACCTGAAGCCTGATCTTCCATGTCCCACTTAATTGCTTTAAAGATGATGTGTTTTTAAGTATAGAGATAACAGTATTGCTTTCTGATCCTTTCTTATGAGAAGGAAAAACAAACCTCATTTAATTGTGATATTCCAAAAAAAGAATAAACTGCTGTGAATTGCATCAAAGGTGAATACATCCATCTGGCCCAGAACTGTGCTCTTAAAAATAGTTAAAGGGGGATCTTAGTCATACTATGCTCACAAATATTCTCATTGAACCATCCTTCTCTTTTGCTCTTTCCCCTGAGAAATTCCCTCTCAGTTTAGTGGCCTCTCTAACCATGAGTCCCTTCCATGAATCAAGTCCTGCTAAATTTATAGAGAAACTCAAATGGCTAATTTTCTCTATGCATCTGTATGTGGAACTGATCCTTTAGAGGGAGAGAATCTTGCATTCTTCATTATGCTGGTGTCAGGTCCAATTTAGAGCTGCTACAAATCAACTTGAGATTCAATAAATCATGTAAAAGTGCAGGGTTTGCTTCACGGAAGAAGCAGGACTAGTGGCTCAATTATTCTTTGATTCATTATTTTTATTCCTAACTCCTTTGCCATTTCTAATATATTCCCAAAACATCTGACTGTTCTTCTGCAGCTTCCCCTTTGGTTCAGTGGGGTCCTTCACAGTGTTCCTTTTCAGCTGCCGGACCATTTTGCATTCCTTGGTGTCTCCAGTCAGCTGTCAGTAATGTATTTTTCTGCCTGTCAAGCATAACACATTTAAAGGGGAAGCTATCCAAAGAGAAGATGACTTACTTAACTTCCCTTTAATGTATCAATTGTTGAACTAGTCTCTTTTTAAGGGCATTTTTAATTTTGTGTGTTAGAACTTAAAAGCGTAACACAGATGCACTGCTGGGGAGCTGGATTAAGGGGTGGAGAAGGAGCTTTGTCACAGGTTTTAGGTATTGTATTGTAGAACTGAATCCTTCTCAATATTGTATTGATGGACTTTGATAATTTATTATTACTCTGAAAGGTTGTATGAGAATTGCTCAAGTACTTTAGTTAGTTAAAAGAATTTTTTAAACTGAATTTTATTTTATGCAGTCAAATTGTGAATGGGAAGCAGTTGTTTATGGAAAAACAGAAGACCAGCTTATCATGACTGAACAAGCAAGAAGATATCTGAGCACATACACGGCTACCAGCAGCACTTCAAGGGCTCTGATACTGTGATGGTCACTGCAACTGACAACCATCTCTTTCCATTGAAACTGACACAATGCTGAAGGCGATTCCAGCACAATACTTGTGAATTAAGTCTTTACTTTGAGACAGTCTGCCAAGGGAAACCTTACAGCTACCTTAAAGCTTCCTTTCTTCTTTTGACTCACAAAGAACAGACGTGAAGCTCTCATATTCTCTACAAAGGGATAGTACAAACAGTTCTGCAATGAATTTCTTAAATATTAAAAAAGTAATGCCCTAAAGTATGATAAAGAATGGTAAAATACATTGCAGTACTGAAAACATAGTTTTAAGGTCCATTTTTCATATTTATTCTTTTGACTTGCATTGCTTTTTTTCTGTTAGTGCATTTTCAATATAGAATAGGTTTATAGGTTGTTACTGGTTTCCAAATGAGCAACATACATGACTGAATGTGCTTTTGCTTATGTAGCATTTTTCTAGTATATAAAGAAACACAAAGGAAAGGAGTATAAAGGAAGGATAGAAAGTTGCACTACTAATTTTTTTGGTATGCTGCAAAACAATGAAATTAACTACAGTGTTAAATATATTTATTTGCAAATGGTACTAAAAGTAGGCAGAGGGGGGTAAACTAGGTTTTAGTGTAAAGCATCAGTATTTTCTTCATAAATCTCAAAATGAGATGATTGTTGAATGTATTGTACAGTATGTAGGAACAGGGAAAATTTTGTAAATTGGAAAGGAGTCTGTTTTTATAATTTATTTTCATTTTAAAGCTTAAATGTAGATATTTATATGTATGCAGGTTGTCTAGAAGCCAATGTTGTTTCCTGTTAAAACAGCTGAAATGAAAAAAGGACAAGTTTAAAGTATGGAATAGCAGAAGAATTACAGTGCTGAAGTGTACAAATCTATACTGTATGTTACATCTGCATAAAGATTGCACTATAACCCTTAAATCATGTTGGTCTACAAAATAACTACAAGGTATACCTGTATTATACAGCAACTGTTCCCATACCTTGTTTAAATATATTTAGAAAGGAATGGTGGGGTCCTATACGTGACCCAGGAGTACTTCGTCCTGCATAGGAACTAAAAACTAATGCATTTTAAATATTTATATATATATATATTTTTTAAAAAAATAAACTTGGCACCTTGGATCTCAAAACAATTGTATCTGCACTTAAGTTTGTCCATTATATACTTACTAAATGTTTCAAGAACAAAGAGAACATTCTTTTATTTATGAAAAATCTTTGTCCTTATTTAAAGGTGTACAGGTCACAACAGTTGCTTTAGTTGCCTATTTTAGGTATTTGCACTTATTTTATGTCTTTTTTTTTTTTTTCTCGAAGGAATGTTTTGGTTTGCTTTTGTTGTAGAGATTTTTATGTAGTTTGAGCAAGTTATAATGGTGTGCTATCAACAAATACTGACAGGTAAATAGAATTGTACACTGTAGTTTTAGTTATTTATAATTCAGACACTCTTCCTCTCCACTTCCGGGTGTGCTGCTACTGACAGTGGCAGAATCGGCTTGCTGCTATGAGAGATGGAAAGAGCGAGCATCATATGCACTGTATGTAAAGTTACAAAAATGTCAGGTTCTCTAGTTAACTTTATGAGATCAACCAGTACTATGCAGGGTGTGGAAAGTATTCCTATCACTTCATATCAAAGATGGTAGAGAATAATTTATTAATGGAGAATTTTAACACGTGATGAGTGGCACAAGGAAGGTAATGGGTTATTACACTTTTTTAAACATCTCAAAGCTTATTCAATCTTTATTTTTAGGAGCTTTTTGATAATAAATATTTGCCTGCCTATGGTTGTAGTAGGCAGAAACATTTTTAGTAGTTTTTAATTCACATCAAAATTTTAAGGGGGCGGGGGGAAACCTATATAAGCATGGGGATCAGCAAATACCCATCATGCCAGGATTACTCCTCACCTCTGAGAAGTGAGAGGAGGCAATTGGAATTCTTGGCAGTACTAGATTTAGGTGTGCATTTACCAGAATGGATTTAACAGCAACATTTAATGCTGGAGACACCATTTAATTCACAAAAAAATAAATAAGACACTGAGGGAGAATTAATATCTAGAATCTGGATGATATGTTTCAGTAGAAGTGGTATCACCAAAACTCCCTATACCAAGTTTAAGCATAGATTTGTGGTAAATAGTATTGATTTGTGTTGGTATTGGTTGGATCATTTAGTTAACTCCTACTTTGTTGCTTTAGCAGGAAGGTTTTAATCTTTCATATGTCAGGCATCTTTTATTACTTTCTGAACGTTGTGTGCATTTGCATTTCTTTCAGTTTATAAGTAGATTGTACATGCAGCAGCCAAACTTGCATGAAACCTAAATACATATTACTCCATATTTTGTTTTAAGGTTTGACATAATGTGCAACAAATGCCTTGTTTATCTTAGTTTTTGTTGTACTACAAACTTTCCTTTTATGTAAGAGAATTTCGCATACAATACAGACCATATTAATGACAGAAATAAAGCATCTATGTACGAGGTTACTGTAAGTGCCTTTTGTTTGAGAACTTAAACACTTGCTGCTCGTTAAAGCAACATGTATGTATGTGTGCATGTGAGACTGCAAGAAACCTATCTTTATTAGACTGGGCAGAGGCAAACAGCAGTCATGGGAATCCATGGGTACATAGCAGGATGGAGTCTCTTTGTAGTACCAGCTTCAGCCCAACCTGCTTGTAATCCTGCTTGTATTTGCTTAACAGTTTGCATTTGTCTCTCAAAGCTTTAACACAAATATTTATTTGTAGGAGATTTGAAGAATGTTGCTAGCATAAAGCTTTTTTACATTCTTTTCATTTGTATGGTGGAAGTGATATTTTAGTATGTGTGCCTGGGTCTTGGGAAGTAAATACGTGTGTAAGCTGTGCCTCCCCCTAACTAGTACTCGCAAACATGTATTAATCTGAAAGACTTTGACTTTCTTATTTTGCTAGAAACATGGGCATTCAGTAGATAATATCTACTGCCTTTCCAGACAAAAGATAAATGGCAAACAATTAAAATAAGATAATCTGTTGAAGGAAAAGGACAAGAGGGACTAACACAAGCCAATTCTTCTGAAATGTGTCCTGGTAATTTGTATCCCCTTGCTTTAAGCTGTATAGGCAAACCGTCTGTTACTGGGGCTTTGAGAGCCAGACCACTGCATGAATACCCTGTAGGCCTGCTCCTGTTTGCCTGCGTGAAGGTTTCCATCACTTGGGACAAGTGGGGTGGGCTGTCTGTAGAGCATTTGTTCTTCTCATGGCTGGCTGCTGATGTCTGAAATCAGGGCAAAGCGTAGGTAGATGAAAACGAAGTCTCTGCTGTTGTGTCAACTTTGCTTAATGAAAGAAAGTAGAGTAGATGGATAGCAAGTAAGCCAAACTTGGGAAGAACTACACCCTAAATTTGGTTATATGAAGACTGGAAGGTTTACTCATGGGCCTGGCTTTTACTTGGAAGAAATAGTCTTTAAGGAATTGATAGGTGAGAATAAACCCATTTCCTACTGCAATTATTCAGGTTTTACATGATAATAACCAAGACTTGCACCAAACTAAAACTGATGCAATGTCAATGCTTCATGAAATAAGGATTTTAACACTGAATATTAACTGACCACAATTGCACCGTACCTGTGACCAAGGTCCAACACAATGCAAACAACAAAAATTCTGAAACTGGAATTGATTCTTGCATTTGGTTTCCTGACAAACATTCAGATTAAAGGTTCAGTACCTAGGCAGAAAATACACTGATGTCTTCTAAAGTGTTTGACCTCATTTATTTATTTTTCATAAGTTTCCTTGACCTTGGACAAGCGGAAGCTTTACAGGCTTAGATGCTTGCTTTCATGGGGAAGCTATGGATTGCTGTTTCTGTGCCAGTTCAGCCAAAAGATTGGTCCCTCTTGAAGCTGCAGCACACTGGTCTGTGTGGCTTCCCCTGGAGGCAGCCAGTTTATCGCTGGAGTGGGTTGGATTCTTGCACTGCAGCTGAAGGGAACAATAGGATCCTTGTAGTTCTGCTAGCATGATGTGTTGAAGGAAGAGGTAAGCTTTGGACCCTTATACATAATCTTACACTTCTGTATAAAGGAAAAGTCTGAATGCTCTTACCCACTGTATTCCACCTTAATGATTATGAAGAAACCTCAGTAGTGCAGCTTCTGTTTGCATCTGGAGTAAGAGATGTGCAATAAGGCATTCTTCAGTATCAGCTTGTGTTGGTGGTTTGGTTTTCTTTTTTAGTTTAATTTTGTCTTCTGCTTCATTGCTGTGTGTGTTTTTTGTGAGGTACAGAACTGAAAGGAGTCCTCTGACGGTGCCTGCTGTTGGACTGCGTCACCCCAGTGATAGAGTTACTATTGCGAAGGAAGCTCTGCCTACCTGCTGCTACCTTTTACAGAAATGTGGGATTCTCCTTTGGGTTTATTTTTAGGGTCCCCTGGATTATTTACCTGACTTATTTCCTCTATTGTCACACCCTCTGACTACGGAGAAGATGGATGCTAATGGCCTTAGCACGCACGAGATGAGAATGGGCTGTGTATTGGCTGTCAGTGATGTATGTCTGCCACTGTCCCGTGTCCTACATTCTGAGGGAAAAGGGTGCTTTTGTCTTTTAGGGAGGGAGAATTCTGCTTACTCAGCATTTACTTCCTCGCTGACTGTTGGCCAGTTGCTTGATCTTAGTTACTCCTTGTAAAAGGGATGTTTGGTGGTTGCACAACTGACAGAGCTTTAGAGCATGTGGTAGTGCTTGAGCGCTCTGCTTTAAAATGGTCTATCCCATAGGTTAAGAAATATTTGCTCAGTTTTCTGAGGGTATCAAGTTCTTACACCATTAAAAAATAATTTAAAATACCCCCAAACAACCATCAATAGAACAAACCCATAAAGCAGGTAAATAAAACCCAGAGAAAACCATTCATTGAAAGACCACGCTCACAAGCCGTGATACGAAGTGCCTCAAAAGTC